AGAAGCTTCTCAGAGCAGTTGGCATGAAAATATTTGAAGAAAAGACAAACCTAAACGCTGCTAATGCTATCTAACTTAAAACCAATGAACGACCTTTTTCACCCAATATATGCCCTTCTCACTGAAAGAATTTTTTTCTTCTTCTTTTTTTTTTTTTATCTAAGTGTCCTTTTGCACTGTTTTTTTTTAAAGAGTTTCGGATTTTTCGTTTTTTTTTTAATTTGTTTTTTTTTTCTGTTGCACTCGTGTGAACAGTGAAGTCTTCAACATCGTTGCCTGGATCTGTGTCTGCTCAGATACTGTCTACATGGTTCCGGACATGTACATACGTCTGGGCCTAGGCGGCCGATTTATTTTCAAAGTGTTTATTTATTTGTTTGTCTATATATTTCGCCTTCTGGTGTCAGCAATTTTGAGGTGGCTTCAGATTTAACCGCGCGACCAGGAGCATGAAGCGATCGTCCGACCAGACTACAAAGTTTACGGTCATTTGTAGTAAGTTTTACGATAAGACAGATACGATAAACGCTTCGTTTCAATGTATCATTGGATGGATACGTACACGCACATTTTGACATATATATATATATATATATATATATATATATATATATATGTGTGTGTGTGTGTGTGTGTGTGTGTGTGTGTGTGTGTTACTGTGTGCACGTGTGTTTGAGAGTGTAGCTAAAAATGTAACAAGATAAGTAGGCATATACAGTTGTTAATTACACAGAAGTACGCTTCGGGCACCTACGCAAATATCGCGGCCTTCTACCACACTTAACTAAAGGAGTGATAATACCATTATAATAATATGCGCAATCGCCAGCAACTTAGTTTCCTGAGCAATTGTCGTGTCCCTTCTGGAAGTGGGCGATTATGGCTCTCCATAACTTCCTGTCCTTTGTAGCTCTTAGTAAGTTTTGCATTTTTGCTATCCCTCCTACTTCCGGTTCTTCCAAACAGTTTACATAAACTGGTTCGACAGGTCATTCGCTACTTTCCTCTTGCCTTTAAATTCTCCGCCGTCCTGGGTATGACGATAAACTACACCAGGCAGCAAGGCCTCTGATTGGGAGGTTTTGAGGAACCTGGAACCACCTTTCGATTGCTGTTGTTCCCAGTGTCTTAGCTATGAGCAAATATTTAACCCCCAAACTGATGTCAAAACACTATGAAAGTATATCTGACTCTCGACAAAAAAAAACCCTCTTTGCAAAAAAAATTGACTGTCGACAAAAACCCTCTTTACAAAAATATGTCAATGAATCTTGATCTACAAACTGATTTCTCACAAAGAATACATATTCTATTCATACGAATCTATCCTAAAAATGTTGTCGGCACTAAATAACCCGTTAATTGCTGGTGTTCCCAGTTCCACCCTGAACTGTTAGGCTTCCAGCTATAGGCAAATAGTTAACTATTACCAGCAATACTTTTTTGAAAAAAATTATTACCAGCAATACAGTTTTGAAGGAAATATATTACCAGAAACAGATTTTTGACAAAACAAAATATTACCAGCAATAAAAATTGTGTCAGCATTAAATAACCCATTGAGGTTGATATGCCGTAAAACAAAATAAACCAAACCAATCTAAACCAAAGAATACATATTCTATTCATACGAATCTATCCTAAAAATGTTGTCGGCATTAAATAACCCATTGAGGTTGATATGCCGTAAAACAAAATAAACCAAACCAATCTAAACCAAAGAATACATATTCTATTCATACGAATCTATCCTAAAAATCTTGTGGGTATTAAATGACCCATTGAGTTTGATATGCCGTTAAACAAAATAAACCAAAGCAAGTTTCCGAAGCCGCCTATCCTCGTTATGAACTCTAGAAATTTCAACTGTGTTTCTGATTCTAGCAGTTAGGGATGATCATAGCACATTAGAATGCTAATGGGAGCCGTAGTAGCCTTGTCATTAGTCAGACTAATTTAAGTTTAAATATCTGCAAAAGGTTATAGCCATAGCGCAATAGTTATCGGTTTTAATATTTTGGAACATTATTATTGAGGTGTGTATGATTTTTACGAGTTGTACGTCCTACTGTAGGCATTTCTCGATGAAACTAAACTTAAGACGAATGATCCGATATGAGATTTTGTTAACTTACACCTGGTATTAACCGCAAACATCAAGTAATGCTTTGAGGTTTATTTTAAAAGTGGGCACATGGCTGTGCGGTTAGAAAGTTAGCGTCTCTTGCACGAGATCTATGTTTGAATCTCACCATGGTTGATTTGTTTAGGAGCCGACTTCTTGGTAATTGTGGCACCATTTGGAAAGTGCCTGGAAACCGTACCACCCAGGTTTTCTCATTGAAATTAGGTAAACGGAATTGTATGAAAACCGTTATGTTAGCACGAATTGGGTAAATAGAACTGCCGAAGCCGTTGTGTTAGCACGAATTGGTACTCACCGTGACTGTGAATTCAGACATTTTGACCTTCTTCACGCTAGATTATGCTGTCTCTCCTTGAAACTGTAACGAAGGTCCACTCAGCAGAAACTATGAGTCGGCTCAGTGGGTATTGAAAAAACACAAATATTTCTGAACAGGTGTCAGCAACAGTGATCAACTAGCCACCCTTGCAGAGAGGCATATTCAGATACGAATGAAGAAATGCAGCCTTAATGTAGTCAGAATAGCTAATTTTTATTGTTATACTTTCTGACTGGCCAAATGACAAGATGATGATGTCCACCTTGTGCGAGGTTCAAGAGCCACTCGAAATAGGACGTTACAGACCGAGAAGCACAGTTTATCGGGATATATTGGAAAGTAACAGTTGACGCGAAACTTGAATAGGTTAAGATTGTAGTGGTCGGGGAAACACCTTCTTGGGAGTCAGTCCCACAAATTAGAGTCTCGTGGGAAGAAGTTGCTGAAGTGGAACGTAGATCATTTCAATGGAATGAAGATTCTTCGCTACAATGTGCGCGACATGGTGGGTCTTAACTGTGATGGTTATAATTCTTGGAACTAAGTAATGTAGTACCTTTGAACATTTTCCATGGAAATCGTGATAAAGCAGCGAGTGACTTGCGACGTTGCCTCTGTTAGGAAGGGTGTTGTTGGAGTAAAAAGAATTCATTACTCACAAGCTCGGGGAGACGCTTTTAGATTCTATCTACACTAGAAAGTGTAGACTCACCAGCTCCTGTCCATATATGGCAATAGTACTCTATTTTCGACCTGATCTGGCTCTTGTAACAGGCACGTTTTTGGGGGATATGTGGGTAAAATAACGGTTAACACTTGACTTGAGGGTCCTGGGTAAGAAGATAAACTACATCCGACAGCAAGGCCTATGATCAGGAGCTTTCGAGGAGCGTGGAACCACCTCTTAATTACTAGTGTTTCAGGGTCCACCCTGACCCGGGGTGGTAGCACTTGTTAGGGTTCTAGCTATGGGCAAATAGTTAACCCGAAATGAAAACTTAAAATAGGTTTTAATACCAGCAATATATTTTTGTAAAAAAATATTACCAGCAATGAATTTTTGAAGAAAGAAATTATTACCAGCAATGAATTTTTGAAGGAAAAAATTATTATCAGCAATGAATTTTTGAAGAAAGAAATTATTACCAGTAATGAATTTTTGAAGGAAAAAATTATTACCAGCAATACATAATTACAAGCAAAGCATTTAAAATATATATATATATATATATATATATATTTGAAGAAAAAATTATTACCAGCAATAGATAATTGCTAGCAATGCGTTTTTGAAAAATATATGTATATATTTTTTAAGAAAAATTACTACCAGCAATAAAAAAAAATCTTTTTTTGGCATTAAATAACCCATTGAGGTTAATATGCCGTAAAACAAATCAAACCAAACTACACTTGACTTGAACAGGTTAAGATTATAATGATCGGGGCAGCATACTTTTGGAAATCGGTTCCACAAAGCAGTGATTCCTGAAAGAAGCTGTTCGAATGGGACTTACATCTTGCCAATGGTATACAATTAGAATGAGGGTGGTTCTCTACGATTTCCATGCATGGTGGGTCTTAACCCTGAAGGATAGAACTGGTAGAACTAAGACATGAGGTTTGCCTGAAAAAAATCCTACCAGCAATAAAAAAAATCTTGGGTATGGCGCTAAACTACATCCGCGTCCTGGGTAAGACGATAAACTACGTCCAACAGCAAGGCTTCTCATCAGGAGGTTTTGAGAAGCGTGGAACCACCTCTTAATTGCTGGATACTAGGAGTGGTAGCACCTGTTAGGTTCCCAGCTTTTGGAATTAGTTAACCCTGAAACTGGGGTAAAAACAATGTGAAAGTGTAAAAACAGGTTTTAATACCAGAAATATTTTGTAAAAAAGTTATTTCCATCAATAAATTTATGAATAAAAAAAAACTATTAACATGCTATACATTTTTGAAGAAACAATATTACCAGCAATATTTTTTGAAAAAAATTATTACAGAGAAACACAGTTTTGAAAAAAAAATATTACCAGAGATAGATTTTTGACAAAATAAAATATTAACAGCAATTGTAATGATCGGGACAGCATCCTTTTGGAAATCGGTTCCATAAAGAAGTGATTCCTGAAAGAAGCTGTTCGAGTGGGACTTACATCTCACCAATGGAATACAAAGCGAATGAGGGTGGTTTGCTACAATTTACATGGCATTGGGGGTCTTAGCCCGGAAGGACATAACTGGTGGAACGAAGGAATGTAGTTCATCTGAACACTGGAAATAGCTGTTCAAGTGGAATTTACATCTTACCAGTGGAATACGAAGCGAATGATGCTGGTTCGCTACAATTTGCATGGCATGGTTGGTCTTAGCCGTGGAACGAAAACATGAAGTTCGTCTGAATACTTTCCAGTCATAGAACAGCGAGAGGCTTGTGACGTTTCGTCTGCGGGATAAGGGTTGAAAAAGAATTCATCAACCAGAAGGACGATACTAACACAGTTAAAGCACGTAGCTATTCTCTCCACAGGATTACGGCCACATTACTTTGAAACTTATGTTCCTGTACGATCACCAAAGTTAAACAACGTCGAGCGTGGTCAGTACCCAGATGGGTGACCGCTTGGGAATACCAGGTACTGTAAATTTCGATGTACGTATGGTGTAATGGATAATGGCTCAGAATTGTTAATCAGAGAGTCGAGCTCTAATTCCCGTTGGGTTCGTTATATTCAATCACGCGCAAATACCCTCGAAAAGTGTTGATAAGCTGTAGAAAACGAATAAATCAAAAGCGTATCGAGCCACTGGATTTAAGATAGGATTAAGTGTTAATACAAATCATATGAGTGAACGTGGAGGGATCGTGTCCGAGCAGTTACAATGATGAACCGGGTTCGGATCTCATTGTAGTCAATCTTTCAGGGAGGCGACTTCTTGATAATATTGATCTGGTGAGATCATCGTAGCATACGGCGCTGTTGGAACGTATCTGAAAACCACACCGTAGGTTGACTCAAGTCTTGCGAATATAATTAGGTTGACGAAGATTTACGGAAGCCGTCGTAGGTCGTTTTAGCACAAGTCATCGTAACCGAGCGTTTGAAGGTACTAGCTTTGATCATGCCAGATTATGCGCTCTGTCTCAAAAACTCTGCAGTGTAAACCATATATTTGCTCTGTGGATGTTGGACAAGCGGAAATATGCTTGAGCAGGAGCCTGCAATATGGTTTGGCAAGTTACAGCGACAAGCATACTCGCCAGCTACACTAAGAATTTTTTTTTTGTTATCTATTCATAATTTCACGTAGAACAGAAGGTGGTGTATTATTCTTAGTATAGAAGTAAATATGACAATCTCCCTGTCCGAGAAGAAACACTTGCGTAAATAAATACTTAATAACATCTTGGGAAGATAAATCGAAGAGCTGAGGTTCAATTCCTGCTCGTTCGTTATGTGGGTTATCCCACTTGACTTTGCTAAAAAGAAAACTATCGCTACATAACATCCCTTAAGCCTATATAAGGGCGTGCATTTATCTCTACAGTCTCTTTTCTCTTTTACAGTTTCTTGAGGTAAGATGTAGTTGTACGTGGTGAAAAAAGTGTCCCCATCGGGGAACGTTCATTGTTCTCTGTCTGGACTTTTCCTACTCTCTCACAAACGCTGTTACACACACACACACATATATATATACACACACTTTTATATAGGAGCAAAGTGTCGCTGCTGACAATTGAGTTTAAAAATAGGTCACCAGTGAGTAAATATAGGCGGTCACATTGAATTAAGTGGACCTCGTGACCATAAAGGACATAAGTAGGAATTAGCTTGACGTCTAATTGATCGCTATTCCTACTCTAACCTCTATTACTATTCGGATCATCATTTCTATTCTCTACTCTATTCACTATACTATTTCTCTATTCGGATCACTATACAGATTTCTATTCGAGTGAGTATTATCGAGCAAGTACTATTAGTGCGAGTGATATTCGAAGACGTCTGACATCAGTATTGTTCAATGGCGTTACTATAGTTATATCTGCGATTACAAAGTCTCTACTACAACGTGCATTACGAAAGTGACAACGAATATTCGTTGACATTACAAAAGTGGACCACCATTTCTATTCTATCCTCTATTATTATACGGATCACTCTACACTATCCTCTATCTCTATACTATTCACTAAACTACTTCTCTATACTGATCACTATACGAATTACTATTCGGATCACTATTCGGTGGTTACTATCGAGCAAGTACTATCAGTGCGAGTGTTATTCGAAGGCATCTGACACCAGTATTGTTCAACGGCGTTACTATAGTTGTATCTGCGATTACAGAGTCTCTACTACAACGAGCATAACGAAAGTGATAACGAGTATTCGTTGACATTACAAAAGTGGCAACGAGTGTTCGCTGACATCAAAAAACACACAAAAGTGTGAACTTAGTGTAACTAGGTTCATGGTTTTCTTTCCTTTTGTCACATGTAATTCCTTTTGCAAATACATGTTGTTGTTTTTTTATATTGTTCACTATTACTATAGTTTTACCTGAAGTCACATTGAGTCCGCCAATATTGTTTGTAGTATAAATGTTCCAGAAGCCCACAAATATTTACTCTCCAAAGTGTTTATTCTCGCATGATGACTAAATATATACCTAAACATACTATCATAGAAAAAGATAAATCCTAAAAAAAGCACTCCTAAAGTTTTGACAAAAGTAGCACTTTTGAAAATTTCTTATTGAGGCAAAATTTACAGTAATTTCCAATAAGAAGCAATTCCATGCAGTTGTTCATAATATAGGACACATAGGAGGCTATTCTTAATAGAAGCAATTCTTCCTAATAAAAGAATGTCGGATAAATCTTTCGTCATTGAAGAATGTTTTATGAGAAGCATTTCGCTGCATCCTTCTCTTTTGTTTTACGAAAGGTAAAAACGCAAATCGAACAACAAAAAAAAAAACAAAACAAAAAAAAAACAATAAAATAAAATTTAGTAATTCATGAGAAGGTGCTGCGAATGATCGAAAGTGTCAAAAATGGTTTGCATACGTTCGAGAGTATAGTCCACGATCAGTCGCACTATCTGATATTGACATCTATTAAATTAAGACATTATTTATTGATTAAAATAGGTGACCTTTTCGGAAAGTATTCCTCAAATAAGAACTTCTGAAAAATTGGGGAAACATAATATGAGTATATTTGAAAAAAAACTTACTAATAGGAGCACTTCTGAAAATGGTTTACTAGCAGCAGTTTACTTCTAGAATGTTTTTCATGAAAACAGCATTTCTGGAAAGTTTAATTAGTAGGAGCACTTGAGTGAAGCTCTTATTAGTAGAAACACTTCTGTGAACATCAGATTAGTAAGAGCACTTCTGAGGTCTGTCTAGTAGAATCAGTTCCGAGAAGGTCTTATTAGTAAGACTTCTGCGACGGTCTTATTAAGAAAAGTACTTCTTTGAACGTCTGATTAGTAGAAGCACTTCTGTGGTCTGTCTAGCAGAAGCACTTCCAAGAAGGTCTAATTAGTAGGAACCCTTGTGTGAAGGTTTTATCTGTAGAAGCACTTCTGTGAACATCTGATTAGTAGGAACACTTCTGAGGTCATATGAATACACGTCTGAGGTTTTATTAGTAGGGACAATTCTGAGAAGGTCTGCTTTGTAGGAACTCTTCTGTTATGGTCTTATTAAGAGGAGCTTCTGAGAAAAAGTTCTTCGTAAAAGGCTTACTCCTCAAAGGTTCTTCTTTAATAGAAGGAGAAAAGATTTAGTTATATTAATACTTATGAGTTTTTTTTCTAAAAGTAGTCCATCTGGGAAGGTTGAATTAATAGGATTATATTTGCAGTGACAGCAGCCTTTACCGATGCAAAATACACTGTAACTGGTTTTAATATAGTATAAACAATAAATAAATTAAAATAATTGTCGGACTTTTCATAATATACGAAAAGTGTATTTCATAATATGTAACGTCATTTGTTCATGTTAATATACGCTTCGAGCTGATATGAGCGTTGGAGAGAAATCATGGGAAATTTTTAGCTTAAAAGAAGATGTTTCATCTGTAGATAAATGACATAGCCCGTTAGGCTATATGACCGTTTGATTACTATCGAAGGCCACATATTTTCTATAAAATTCCTCGGACATTTAGGCCAATAAATGTTTCTAATACTGTTTATTATGAACAGAACATATTCCGTGGTGGAACTCTACTGAGATTCTCTCTAACCATAGGACTGTGCTCCCTGGAGCCACGACTACTATTACCAAGTCGCTCACTCTAGAGCATTAGAAGCCGGTTCAGGCAATGATGTACCCATGAGAGAAAATATGTGAGCGAGCGGCGCCATATTGAGTCTGATTCGCTATCTTTTCGTCAACCCATTGGAACAGTTGGTATGATGTTTGCTTGACAACCTAACTGTCAGGGTTTCAATTCTGCTGATGAGTCCCAAATATCGGACGAAACGGCCGTCCAGTGCTTTCTGTTGAGTTTTCAAACTCGATGAATTATATATATATATATATATATATATATATATATATATATATATATATATATATATATATATATATATATATATGTGTACAGGTATGTAGAAAAATAGGAAAGAACACGTTATGTAAGTAGTCCAGGGTTCTTTATTATTTTTGTTTTTATTTAAAAAAAAAAACAGTGCTCCATGCAGAAGTAGAGCTTAGATTATAATTATTTTTAAAAAAAATATGATTCCTTCGATACATAAGAGTTCTCCTTTTTGTATTCCTAAATTTTCGTTTGAGGATGAATCAGGGCTTGTTACCTTAATTCAATTTAATGTTAATAATTATATTGATGGTTTTGGCTCTCGTTTTTGAAACATGAGAACTCTTATTTAGCGAAGGAATGATATTTAAAAAAAAATATATATATATATATATATATATATATATATATATATATATATATAAAGAGAAATAACAGTAAGATATATAAATTATGTTCTTATTAATAATTTATTTATACAAATTTTCAGTGTAATTCGGAGCTGCGCCTCACTTTCATACAGTTCCATTGTTAACAAAATAGAGTTGAAATAATTGTCTTGAAGAACATCAGAACACTTTTGATGCCATAAAACATATCCACACACGAAACTGAAATATTTCTCCTCAGTTTGGTTGATAAGGAAACTGATAGAGTTTGTGCTCAGCACAGCGAGATTTGAAAACTTGTTACTCCCCAAAGATATTTACTGTTCTCTCGGGTGAAGTTTCGACGCGGCCATGATGACGACCCGCTGGGAGGTGGGTATGCGCATTTATCGTCTTTATCACTGAGTACGCATGCATGCCTGATTGTGCGCATGCGTACAAGATCATACTAGATATGTTTGCGTTTTGAATATTATACTTAGCAGTGTGGCTTTTCGACACGATAAATGTCTATCTGATAATATATATCGAGACCAGTGGACCTTTAAAGAAAGGTTGATCTTCTATTGTTGCTTAACTAGCC